GACACCGTGACATCACGATGGAGGGGACGGGTCACGGTGACGTCGCACGAGACACTGTGACATCACGACGGAGGGGACACGTCATAGTGACATCACACGAGGACACCATGACATCACAACGGAGAGGACACATCATAGTGACGTCACGTGAGACGCCGTGACATCACGATGGAGAGGACACGTCACAGTGACATCACACGGGGACACCGTGACATCACGACGGAGGGGCACATGGTGACGTGACATCACAACGGAGGGGATGCCCCACAGTGACGTCACACGGGGACGCTGTGACATCACGACGGAGGGAACACGTCACAGTGACATCACGTGAGACACCGTGACATCACGACAGAGGGGACGTACCACAGTGACATCACACGAGGACACGGTGACATCACAACGGAGGGGACAAGTCACGGTGATGTCACGCGAGGACACCATGACATCACGACGGAGGGGCACATGGTGACGTGACATCACGACAGAGGGGACACCCCACAGTGATGTCACAGGGGGACGCCGTGACATCACGATGGAGGGGACATGTCACACTGACATCACACGGTGACACCGTGACATCACGACAGAGGGGCACATGGTGACGTGACATCACGACGGAGGGGACGTGTCACAGTGACATCACACGGTGACACCGTGACATCACGACAGAGGGGCACATGGTGACATGACATCACGACGGAGGGGACGTGTCACAGTGACATCACACGGTGACACCGTGACATCACGACGGAGGGGACGCCCCGCAGTGACATCACACGAGGACACCGTGACATCACAATGGAGGGGATGCCCCACACTGACGTCACACGAGGACACCGTGACATCACGATGGAGGGGACGCATCACAGTGACATCACACGGGGACCCCGTGACATCACGACGGAGGGGACGCATCACAGTGACATCACATGGACGTGCCATAACACCAGGATGGAGGGGACACGTCACAGTGACGTCACACGGGGACGCCGTGACATCACGACGGAGGGGACACATCACAGTGACATCACGTGAGACGCTGTGACATCACGACGGAGGGGACACCCCGCAGTGACATCACACGAGACACCGTGACATCACGACGGAGGGGAGACCCCACAGTGACATCACGACGGAGGGGACATGCCACACTGACATCACAGGGGGACACCATGACATCACAACCGAGGAGACGTGTCACAGTGACATCACGTGAGACGCCGTGACATCACAACGGAGGGGATGCCCCGCAGTGACATCACGTGAGACACCGTGACATCACGATGGAGGGAACACATCACACTGACATCACATGGTGACACCGTGACATCACGACAGAGGGGACACATCACGGTGACATCACATGGACGTGCCATAACACCAGGATGGAGAGGACACGTCACAGTGACGTCACAAGGGGACACCGTGACATCACGATGGAGGGGACGGGTCACGGTGACGTCGCACGAGACACTGTGACATCACGACGGAGGGGACACGTCATAGTGACATCACACGAGGACACCATGACATCACAACGGAGAGGACACATCATAGTGACGTCACGTGAGACGCCGTGACATCACGATGGAGAGGACACGTCACAGTGACATCACACGGGGACACCGTGACATCACGACGGAGGGGCACATGGTGACGTGACATCACAACGGAGGGGATGCCCCACAGTGACGTCACA